GGCTGGCAGGCAGAGAGTGAGAGCGTGATATTTCGTAGGTGCACGGATGGTTGTTTGGTGCGTTGTTTGGTGCTGGACGGACGGATGGCTTTAGAGGCGCGTGAGTGCGCTCGCTTTTCGAATTTGATGTTGRATTTTTTCAGTTATAGTTTTTGTGAATCGAAAAGGGCGCATGCACATGCACACACACGTTAGCTAGTGYGCATATTTTCGGTCTTTTGCTGCTCTGGCTGGATTTTGAAATGTTCTCCGCTTGTTTTGCGTGCGATTTTTGTCAACGGCCTTTCTGTCGACTTTGGTCTTTGYAGCGCTCGCCTTGCGCCGCCTTTGRTTGTGCGCGCATCGTCGCCTGCTCACCTTGCCTTTCAGCCTGTCTGTCTGCCCAGTAACGTAAATATCTCGCCAAATACTTGCCTAACTGCCGTCAATATGGGCGCAAGTAGGCACAAATCTGTTCGACTCGGTTTGTTGGCCTGTCTAACCGTCCGTACGTCTGCCTCTATTCGCAGATATATGTATATATGAGTGTATGTGTGTGTGCATGTTTGTCGCGTATCAACGCGCATACAAAAGAGGCGATAAATAATGTTTAATGTTGTGTTGAGTGGCTCTACTCTTCTACTCTGTTTGGCTTCGCATTGTGTGTGGTGTTATACGAGTGCTAGATTGTGTATCTTGATTTCTTTGCATTGTTGTTGTTGTTGTTGATTTGTGTATTTTGCTTTGTTGGTGTGCAGTGTGCTGAGGTAATTCGATGCGCTTTTAAGTAATTGAGCGATAATTAAGTGGGTAATTAATAAATGTTTTATTTATATGCTTCACATTTTTTGAAGTAKATTTCAGGTACATATGAAAAAATTAATCAAACATTTGACTTTTGAAGTGCTTTAATTTGCTCGAATTAATTATATGTCACTTTCGAAAAGCAACGCAATGACTTTATCACTTGATTTGCGGCGCTKATTTTTAGGCGTTCTATATCTTAATTAACTTGTTCTGGTGATAATTTCTGATTGATTCCTCTGACTCAGCTTCGGTATGTGCGTACGAAAAAAGTAAAGACATATTCTGATAAATATCATAAGATAATGAACACCATATATAGTATGTATGTATTTGCGGTAAATATGTATTTAGAGTTAGTCATAGGAAAATACTGCTACATATGTACATATGTTAAGAAGTTAATTTGAATTGCAAAATTCCTCCTTGCATCCGCCTATTTTGGTTTGTTTCATGAAATTGGTTTTCTTATGAGATAATTAATA